ACCACACAGATCATTCCTTTGAAAACACTCACACATATAAACCATTAGGTATTTTAGTCATAGCTATTTTAATAACATTGTTAAATTCCGCATTAGTTTACAAACAATTTTTTTATAATTTTTTCACCGAAGTCCACCAGTTTTTGCATGGTGATAAATTTATTTCATACTTTTTGCACGTTAACGAGACATAACATTAACGTTATAGACCAGGAAACTGACGATTTTCCCATGACACTCGTTGATACAGGTATTTAGGTAACAACTGCTTTTAATAAATTTGGTGAAAACAATATATCGCTACCTTAATTAGCAGACCTTGTAACTCCAAAATAGTAAATTTTATAGGAGACAATAAAAACTTTGTAAAATTATATTTATATTAGCAGTCATATTTTTGGTTTGAAATAAATCAAATATATATTTGTATCCTTTAACTCAAATAGCTAATTGTATTTTTTTATTTTATAGTTTTTTATGGAGTTAAGAGTTTTGCACACACACTATATCAGAGATACGTGATTTTCCAACATTTATTTGTTAAAATGGAAAAAAAAGAGTGATTTTAGTAGGTATTTTTAACCTAACAAATTTTAATTAAAATTATGATACTAAATAAAAAACATAAATTTTACAAACTACAGTAAAGTTTAACACAAACAAGGTGTTTAATCGTGAGGAATTGCAGCATAAAAGGAATGCAAATCTGGTTCCAAAATGGATGTTAAGGATTGTAAATCAACATGCTTCCTATATTTAATCGAGTCTTTTGGTGTAAAGACTTCCAAGATTGTGAAGTGTCGTTGGATTAATTTATTTGTCTTTTCTTTGGGTTCACGTTTGAGGTTTGAGGTTCAGAAAAATTCAATTTGAATTGAATTGATTGGGTAGGTAAATACTTCAATGCGTGTATATTCACAACTCGAGGAGATCCACTAAGTTTGCTTGGCCTAATGCTATTATAAAATAAATGACTATCAAAATTTTTGAAATATTTGTAATCCAAATACTTCACTGTATATTGAGAAGAGAATTTTCTGACCTCTTTACAGATTGTTATATAATTATTTTTTAACTTCCGTTCAATGCAGGAGTGCATTGAGTTAACTATGATTTCTTAATCTTTTCTATTAATAATAATGCAGAGAGAAATAGTAATAAGAGAAAAGTGTAACTTTGCAAAATAAATATTTATTTTAAATTGTTTAAACAAATTAATCGGTTAATTACACCATTCATATATTAACTAATTCAATTTTTATTATCTATGCAACGAGGTTCTAAAAAAACATCAATTTTCGTTGATTAGTATAACCGGAGATATTGCGACTTTTATAAATTTATGAATTCAATTTTTGAAATAGTAAAATCGAGAAATAAAAAAGCACAACTCGGGTTCTAAGGGTCGTAGGACATTGTATTTTTCTTTTAAATTTGTGTAGCAATGCCAACATTTCGTTATTTTCGAGTTATTTTAAATGTTAATAAGATAAAATAAGCCTTTTTCTTCAACTTTGGGTTTTCAGAATTCATTTAGAACCAATAGTTTGGGCATAACAACATTGTAGATAAATATTGTTTCGTAGCTATTTTCTTGTGGCATCTTAATGCAATTACATTGCAATTACAATGCAAAACATTATTAAATTAAACAAATTTTGTTTGTTGTTACTTGGCGAAAAATTCTTCTAATAATTTAATTTTATCTGACTCATATTGACAATTCAGACATATATTATACATTTTAAAGTAGACGACTTTAAAAATGATATTGTTAATATTGCCGAGTTGCGTCCCTGGAATGACTTTATTATAAAAAGGTTGATTCGATTAGATGAACTGAAGAATATCCGTCAGAAAAATCATAGCATGTGATTTGTCTTTAAAAAGACAACCAAATTCAATGATGATAGTAAAATTCTTGTGTTTGTGATTCAATAGTAGTCTAGTTGTCAGAGAGTTGACCCCCAAAAATCATACGAACAAGCTGAATTTTGCAGAGAATAATAATTTTGGGAACCTAAAAAAGATGCAAAAATGTTTACCACTTTTACCCCGGGCTTCCCTCTAAAATCCCCCTCGGAGGAGGGTAAAAACGCAAAAAAATCGATTTACCATGAATCTGTACACCGTAGACAAAAATGTTTTAAATAAAAAATGTAGCTGAGATAATTTTAAGCAAAAATGTTTATTACCATTTTTGTGTAGAATGAACCATTCTTTTAGAAACAACGCTTGAAGCGATCGTTGATTTTGCTTGTCAGTTAAGCGCAGGAAATCAATGTAGATTAAAATTTGTATCAGCTCGACGGTAAAAATTCGATATCTTTTGATTCAAATGACCTATCGACAAAAATGAAGATGTTTTTTAAAGGTAAAGAGTTCAGCTTTTGTATGCAGTTTTTGCCGCAAATAGAGTGGATTTTATACAGGTGTTAAATAAATAAACGTGGCGCGATTTTGCCATTTTTTATGATCCTCGTGAGTTCAATAAAACTGATCACTTTTATTGACCAGTTGTAGTAAACTTTCAATTTTTAGAGATCAATTTTTAAAACTTATAACATGAAATTTCAATTTTGAGTTGTGGTAACAAATTGAATGTTTTACATTACAAACGATCACATGTCACGGGAAATGCATTTAGAGACGATTTTGATGTATTTATGCAAAAGTTTGTTCTTTTGAAAAACGTACTAATGAAATTGAAAAAAAGTTTTAAATGTTTTAGATCGGTTTTTGTGTGAATGTTTAAATCCAGCATTTTTAAGCATATTTCAAATGCCTCACATTTGTTGCCAAAAATTAAAACTAAAATTTCATGCTATAGGTTTTTTAGGTTAGGCTCTAGTAATCAAAACTTCATAGTGGCTAGTGAACGAAAGGGATAGATTGTATTGATCTCATGAGAATCATAAAAATGGCAAAAATCGCATTAAGTTGTTGTATTTACCCCCTGTATATAATCTGAGTGTATTTGTGAGAAAATACAAAAACTGCATACGAAAGCTGAATTCTTTACCTTTAAAACGCATTTTGGTTTTTGTCTATAGGACATTTGGATCAAAAGATATTGAATTTTTACCGTCCAGCTGATACAAATTTTATTGAACATTAATTTGCCCGCGTAACTGACACGCAAAATCGACGGTCGCTTCAAGCGTTGTTTCTAAGAAAACGGTTCATTCTACACAAAAAATGCTAATAACTATTTTTGTTTAAAATTATCTCAGCTACATTTTTTATTTAAAACATTTTTTTCTACGGTGTACAGATTCTTGGTAAACCGATTTTTTTTGTGTTTTTACCCCCTGCGAGAGGGTTTACGGGGAAGCCCGGGGGTAAAAGTGGTAAACTTTTTGGCATCTTTTTTACGGTCCCAAAATAATATGCTCAGCAAAATTCAGCTCTATCGTATAATTTTTAGAGGTTCAGTGGCATTTTCGTCTCTAACGACTGGAGTGTAATTTATGATAAAAAAATCAGGACAAAACCTCATAATACTATCCCGACATGGTAAGTATGTAGGTTAGACGAAGTCTAGGACGATTAGATATAATATATAAAGGTTTTTTTAAATTCGAAGCTAATTGGTTTATAATAAAACTTAATACCAATTATTTTAAAGATAAGCTTAAAGTTATATTATACACATTACACACAACAGAACTGAAATGATTATTAGTCGGACAGTGTGGAGGAAGACATTTAAGCCAAAAAATTAATAGTAAAAGTTTCTGTATCTCCGGTTCTGGTTGATGAATTTTGATGTTTTTTTTTTTAATTCGTATGCTCTCTTTGCATACATTACAAATATGCAATGTTTTATTAATATTATAAATAAATAATTTAATTTGTTTAAACAATTATAGAAAATATATTTTTCCCAAAAATTCAAAGTTTTTATTGCATTGCATCTAATTGTCCTAGATATTTTTTTTTTTTAAATTCATGCAAAAATTTTTAGTTTGCAAATATGAAAAAATATTTCTTCTATAAGTAATATATTATTAGATATTAAAATAAATAAAATAAAATAAAATTGAATAGAATAATATAAAATAAAATAAAATAAAATAAAATGAAATAAAATAAAATAAAATAAAACAAAATAAAATAATATAAAATTAAATAAAATAATATAAAATAAAATAAAATAAAATAAAATAAAATAAAATAAAATAAAATAAATAAAATAAATAAAATAAAATAAAATAAATAAAATAAATAAAATAAATAAAATAAAATAAAATAAAATAAAATAAAATAAAATAAAATAAAATAAAATAAAATAAAATAAAATAAAAATAAAATAAAATAAAATAAAATAAAATAAAATAAAATAAAATATAAATAAAATAAAATAAAATAAAATAAAATAAAATAAAATAAAATAAAATAAAATAAAAATAAAATAAAAAAAAATACAATAAAACGAAATAAAATAAAATAAAATAATTTTAATTAAAATAATATTAAATAAAATAAAGGATAATAAAATAAAATATAAGGGCCGAATGGTACAACGCAAATAAATAATATCAGTGCTCCCAGTTGCATAAAACAAGTACGAAACCTAATGGAGTGGCTTGGTAAATTTAAAAAATCCAGGAATGTTTAATTTAGTGCCGGTAAGGAGATAATCATTTGATTATTTTTCTTGTGAAAGTAAAAATATTTACTAACAAATATTTTTCGCCAATATTGTTTCTAAGAATAGACATCCATATTCCATTTTTGACAATATAAAAAAAATTAAATATACTACAAAAGTCGCATTCGCATTGCAAATAATAAGAAAAAAAAATAAAATAAAAATTAAAAGTAATTTCAATATCATAAACAAAAAAATCAAACGAAGGAAATATAGGTACAAAAATGTTATTGATAAATCGTGTAAAAATGATAAGTCAATCTATGTATGTATGTAACCACCTAAGATGCATTTTCTGATTATTCGCAATTTTAAGTTTAAGTTATTAAAATAAAGAATTACTTACGATATTTTTTATGTCGACTATATCTTCTTTAATGAACGTCTTATTGATAACATCCGTAGTGCTTTTATCGATTACAGTTTTGTTAATTCTTTTATCTATATTTTCTTCAATGTCCGTCACATTTACTACATTCGTTCGTTTATCGACAATATCGACGTTTTCGATAAATTTCGTATCGTTTTCGACAGTGGTATAATGCTCCTTGATATCCTTTTTATCAATAGTTGTGTGAGACTCATTTATAATATAGGTTTCATCTACGCTTGATATAAATTCCACACTTTCAGACACCGACTTTGAACTTGTAACTGGATATTCTTTTGTCACTATTTCTGTTACTGTTGTCACAGATGTTCTACTAGGCGAATCTTGTCGAGAAGGCCTAGATGGCTTGCCTGCTACAGGTAAGTCTTCTGGATGTTTCTTTTTTGGAGATTTGTCTTGTGGACTCTTATCTTTTACTGGTTTATCTGGAGACGTGCTTCTTCGAGGTGAAACTGAAGGTTTTCCCGCAGCTGGTAGTTCTTCAGGATGTTTCATTTTTGGTTCTTTTTCTTTAGGACTTCTCTCTTTATTAGGTTTCTCGGGAGATGTACTTCTTCTTGGTGATACTGAGGGCCTTCCTGCCGCTGGTAGTTCTTCAGGATGTTTCATTTTAGGTTCTTTTTCCTTGGGACTTCTTTCTTTATGCGGTTTCTCAGGAGATGTACTTCTTCTTGGTGATACTGAGGGCTTTCCTGCAGCTGGTAGTTCTTCAGGATGTTTCATTTTTGGTTCCTTTTCTGTAGGACTTCTTACTTTTTGCGGTTTCTCAGGAGATGTACTTCTTCTTGGTGATACTGAACGCTTGCCTGCTGCTGGTAGTTCTTCAGGATGTTTTCTGATTGGTTCTTTCTCCTTTGGGCTTTTATCTGTAACTGGTTTTTCCGGAGAAGAACTTCTTTTAGGCAAGACAGAAGGTTTTCCTGCAGCTGGTAATTTATCAGGACGTACTTTATCTTTTGGACTTGTTAAATTAGTGTCATTTATGTATAACTTTCTATCAGTAGTGGATGAAGTAGTGTCAGATATAACTTTTCCATCGACTATAACGTAATGTTCTACTAAAGTTGACTGATTAACGACAGTTTCAGAGTTAATAGTGTTTGAATCTTGTGTATCAACAAAAGTTTCAGAGTAAGATGTAATCTCATCTACAGTACTTGGCTTTATTTTGCTGGGCGAATCACTTCTTCTTGATGGCCTGGAAGGTTTCCCAGCTGCTGGTTTTTCTTTCGGATATTTTTCGACTTGCTTTGGTTGATCCCTATCTGGTTTTTCCAGGCCTGGCCCTACAGGTACCTTTTTACCATCGATAATTACGTAATGTTCAGTTAAACTAGTGTGACTAATAACATTTTTAGTATCAGTATTTTTAGTGAAGGTTGTATTTTTAATGTCATTTACATCAAAAGTTTCGTAATTTTCTATTGTATATGTAGTGTCGCTTGTATGATAACCTTCAGGAAATTGTTTTGATAAATCCTTTTTTATTACTTTATGATTTACATCATCGAATTCAACATTAGTCATCTGTTTTATATTCTCTTGTGTTTCTATTTTCAAAAACTCATTAATTTGTTGTGATGGTTTTAAGGGACGACTTTTTTTAGAAGGAGCGCCAGCTGCAGGTAAATCTTCGGGAGATAATCTATTGGGAACATCCTTCCTAGGTTTTTGTTTTTCATCTGTAGGTATGTTTTTAGTTATATCTGGTCGATCTTTCCTAGACGGAGCACCAGCTGCAGGCAAATCTTCGGGAGATAATCTATTAGGAGCATCCTTCTTAGGTTTTTGTTTCTCATCTGTAGGTATGTTTTTAGTTATATCTGGTCCATCTTTTCTAGACGGAGCACCCGCTGCAGGTAAATCTTCGGGAGATAATCTATCAGGAGCATCCTTCGTAATATTTTGTTTGTTATCTGTAGGTTTGTTTCTAGTTATATCTGGTTGATCTTTTCTAGAAGGAGCACCAGCTGCAGGTAAATATTCAGGAGATAATTTAGTAAGAGTCTCCTTTTTAGGTTTGTGCTTCTCATCTGTAGGTATGTTTTTGGTTATATCTGGTCTATCTATTCTAGAAGGAGCACCAGCAGCAGGAAGACTTTCAGGTGCAAGCCTTGTAGGAGAATGGTGTTTGGGTGTTGCCTGATTTTCTGAAGATGTTCTAGAAATTTCGTCAGGTTGTCTTCTTCTAGAAGGTGCTCCTGCCGCAGGCAAATCTTCTGGAGATATTTTAGTAGGATATCTTGATTTATCTTCTGGTTTTTGTTTTGATGATTCAGGTTTTCTTTCGGGTGAAGTGCTTTTCTTTTGTGTAGATGTTTCATAAGTAAACGATCCATTCCAACCTGTTTTTCCATAGTTTCTGTCGTTAGAATATACTAGGTCAGTAGTGTCGATATTTTGGTCAATAATAACGTGACCTGTAGTACCAATAGTATTTTGCACAGCCTTAGTATCGTAAACGTTTCCAACTATAGTGTTTTTAGAGTCAACGGTATGACCGTAAAAATTTTTAGCATCAGTACCTAATTGACTAGTACGAATTTTTTGCATATCTACATAGTTTTCGTCGACATATCTGATAGAACTGTCTTGAGAATGAATATCTTCTGTTTTTATTCCTGCAGGTGATCGAGATGTAGTTTTTCGTTCAGGTGATTTTGTTTTCTTAGGTGTAGAAGAAGCTGGTACATGATCAGTCTTAACATAAGTTTCATTCAAATTTAAAGTTTGTGATTTATCTATATCTGTAAAAGAGCTTCCAGGAATATTATGATTGTCAACTTCGCTTACCGTCTTAATAATGTTTCCTTTCGAGTCATAATAAGTTGTAGTTGTAGTAGTACTAGTATTTTTACCAAGATCTTTTGCGGTAATATTTTGTATGGTTTCACTGACGCTTGTTTTTTGATATTGACTGGAATCCATTTGTTTATTTATTGAATCTGTTTGCTCTACTTCTATAAAATTTTTGGAAGTGCTTTTTAAAGAATTTTTATCTGTAACATTTGTATTATGAAGTATATTTTTATTGGAAGAAACTTGAGACCCTACTTGGTGAAAATCAGTATAAACATCAGATGAAGTTGTTTTAGGTTGTCTTAATTCTGGATTATTACTGTCATATTTAGTTGAGCTTTTCGTCGATTGTTGCTGATAGTGAACTTCTGGTGTAATGTTAGTACCAGACTTTGAAGATAAATGTTCATTATTAATACTTCTAGTAGCATTTTCAGATTCATGATGCGTTCTATCAATAATTCTTTCTTTGCCGTCAATTATTTCTACCACATAACCACTTGACGAAGTTTTTTCTGTCGTAGAGGTTTGTTGATGAGCGGTTGACGATGATGTTTGTTCAATTACAGTATTTTTACTTATTGGAGCAACTTTTGTATTTGTATCTTCATAAATAAAAGTCCCATTCCAACCAGAGTCGTTTTTATTATATGTTAATTTAAATTCTTCGCTTGGCTCATTAATCGTATAAGTAGATCCAGATTTTTGAGAATGAGAGTCAGTTTTATCTACTACTGCAGCTGTGGAAGAACTTTGTACAAATTTGTTATCAAATTTGTTCTCATGGGTTATATTAGAGGAAGATAAAAGTTGATCTCCTATTTGATGTATCTCCCTTTCGGACTTACTAGATTTTGTTTTCGGTTGTTTTAATTCTGGTACAGCTGAGTCATATTTTGTAGAACTTTCCGTTGCTTGTTGTTTATAATGTACCTCAGGTGCAATGTTAGTACCAGATCTCGTATCTAAACGTTCGTCATTACTAGAGTGATCAGCGTGAAATGATTCATTATGTTTTTGGTCAATAATTCTTTCTTTTCCATCTACAATTTCAACAACGTAACTCGATGAAGAACTTTTTGCGGTGGAAGAACTTTCTTGATGTGAAGTCGAAGATGACGTTTGTTCTACTACAGTTTTTCCTCCACTTTTCGTAATTTGATTTTTTGTTCTCTTATCTTTTTGTAATGGTTGTTCTACTACAAATTTACCGTTCCAACCAGAATCGTTTTTATTATATGTAAGTTTTAATTCTTCCATAGGTTCTGTAACAGTGTAGGTTGAATTTGATATTTGAGATAAATTAGAAGTCGATTCATGTAGATTTGTTGTTGATTGATTTAAAGTAGAACTAATTTGTTCTATTTGTGTGGAATGTACTGCTGATGAGGAAGAATCTTGTGCAATAAAATGTCTGTATTCGGTAGAAGTGGCACCTGAGTCTTCATAAGTAGTTATTTTTTCTCCTCCGCCCGTTGGTAACTGTTCTGTGACTTTATAAGTGACAACTTTAGCGTTAACCGGTAAATGTGAAATATCAGAAATTTTTAAGCTGGAAGACGAAGAAGATTTTGATACATTACCAGTTTGGAGCGTCTCACTTTTTTTGGATATTACTTTCGATGACTTAGTAGCACTAGTACTGGATGAGCTTGCGGCTGTAGTCGTCGTTGATGTTTTCTTTTTGGTTTTATTCGTAGCACCACTTTTGTTCACTGTCATGTTGAAGCACTGTACCGAGCGCACTAAAATTAATTAAAAAGCTAACGTAAATAAAGCAAACGAAAATAACGCGACTATATAACTATAACAAAATCGTATAATAGGTGTTCACGCGCTCACGATATTTTTGAAAGTGAAGAGGTAAGGCAAGCAAATCCCAACAGCAGGTTATGGGTGACCGCTACGTCATTGTTGCTCCCACGTTTGTTTGTTAAATCTTTTACTTATATGGCGAGTCTGCGAGGTTCAGCCAAGATTCGTCACTTTCTAAAGGCTACTAAACGATACAAACACCGTATGGTTATTAAATTTATAATAAATTAATTATATTTGCCGGTTTTTGATAAGAAAGGATTTTTACAGATAAGGCTTTTTTAAATATTTACTATTTTACCGTAAAATATATAAAAAGTCCGTTTTTAAGCTGTTTAGAATTAAAAATATGTGCAATACACACACATCCAAATGTAAAATCTGATTTAACATTCAAGGATATTTTGCTTAACGGTGAATTTTTATTAATCATTACTTAAATAATCGTAAAGAAACAAATATAATCGAATGCATTGCATTTTTAAAAAATCTGAAGAATGATCGATTAGTGAAGATGACATATCTATAGGGTGATTCATGAATATTTATTTATTTTATTATTATCCAAAATAAATTAAAGATGTACTTAATGTTACCGAAAATAAAATACAATCATTATTTTGATATATAGGCGAGGAAATAAAGCACTAAAACATCAATGCATTTCCAAAGTACATAGAAAATGAAAAATTTTCAACTCAGAAAACATCTACAGGAATGAGTTCAATTTTATTACTCGAGAGTTTTCGAGGTCGCTGAATATGAATATGATAACAAAGATGGTCGTCGAACTACCTGATGCCTAGGATGAACCTCGTCTGCTGGAGTATGTTCAATTTATGTTCTAAAATATTTTAATAAACTTGGGCAAATATATTAAAAACAACAAAAGCCAAAATAAAAAGGACTTATACAGTGATGTATACAAACTTAAATGTGGCGACTGCCTAAAAACTCACATCGGTCAAACTGGTAGAACCTTTAACAAACGTATAGTAACATAAAAGGGCTTTCAATAATAGGAAAACAGATTCCACGTGAGCATTTTATCTTCTTTTCAATCATTTCCATAATGACGAATTTCAAATTTTTCACATCCAAAATAAAGACCTTAAGCTATCTTTATTAGAATATAATATGGAAATTAACAAATGAAAAAACACAGACATAATTCTGAATGGCCAACTTGAGACAAACAGTTCTCTCTCCCTTAACCTATTTCGTAAAGACCATAAACATTACATCCAAAAATAGATCACTTGAAAAAGGCACTCTGCCGAAACAGCTGTAGTGATAAAATATTATAATAAATTTTGTGAAAGTTTTGAAAACAAAGTTTTCAGTGTTTATATAAAATTAATTTCTATCAAGTAACGGTCGAATGTTCATTTCATTCTAAATCAGTCGACAGTCATTACACTGTGGTTTTAGAGATTACTGAATACGAATATATACACAACTACACATCAACTTTAACCACATAGGCAGATTATAGAAAAGTCACTAAAATATAACATAGATACACACCATCTCTTCGTCGACTTCAAAACATCCTATGACAGTGTGAAAAGGACTGCATTATATAATGCAATGATAGACTTTGGGATCCCATATAAGTTAGTTAAGTTGACCCAATTAACAATGCAAAAAGTAAGCTCATGCGTTACAATTGAAGGAGAAAACTCTAAATTCTTTGACATTAATAATGGTCTAAGACAGGGGTACGCGCTGGCGCGTCTCCTCTTTAATATTGCCTTGAAAAAGGCAACCAGACAGATTAATTTATTCGAATAAAGGATGGAACAAGAGCTTGCAGATCGAATTTTAGGACTTGTGGCAAACGAGGAAAAAACCAAATATATATTGGTTTCTAAAAACCTACCCGAATATCCAACAAAGAATTCAAATTAACAACCATATACCTTTGAGGAAGTAAAAGAGTTCACATATCGGCAATACACGGACAAGCGACAAAATAAAAAGATGCATAGCAATAGCAAACGGAATCACGATTTCCAGAAACATTTAATAAATAAAAATATAAAACTTGCAGTAAAGCTCAACATTACAAGACCTTAATAAGACCGGTTTTTGAATATATGAAGGCTGAAATGTGGACCTTATCTCAAAAAATAATAAAGACTGTTGGTAAATTGGTTTTTTGAGAGAGAAAAATTCTTAGAAAGGTTTTTGAGACCGTAAATGAAAATTTACGATTCACTTTAAACAAAATAGCAGATTCATCTTACCTCGGAACTACCCTCAACACCACAATGGGGAACTACGCTCAAGAGATTAGAATCCAGAATTGAAATAGCACGGTCTGCATTTATTAAGTTTGAGATTCCTTGCTGTGCTGAAGTGAATCCCAGTTTGGGGAACCAAGAAGCTGGATAGTGAGGTGCTACACGTTTCTTCCAGTGTTACTATATGGAGTTGAAGCCTGGACACTGACGCAAGCCACTGAAAAACGAATCGAAGCCTTCGAGATGTGGATCTACAGAAGGATACTAAAAATATCTTATGTGGACCATGTCACAACGTTGAGGTCCTACAGCGCATGACAAAAGAAAAAGAAGTGCTTAATTTAATTAAACAACGTAAGCTTGAGTACCTCGGCCACGTGATGCGGAACGAAGAAAAATATCGAATTCTTCAACTCGTTATGGCAGGGTAAAGTATTTGGCAGAAGAGGACCGGGACGCCGTCGTTTCCTCGTGGTTGATAAAATCTCCGACAATGGTTTGGGATGAACCTCTGCGGGGCTAGTGTTTCGCAGGACGGGTCAACAAAAACCATGATAGCCCTTAGATGTTCAGCAACAATTCCGGACCGGATAAAGGCTCTGAAGACGAAGCAGAAATGTAAATGGGCATATGGCGTACCGAAGATAGAACTTGGAACTATATCAATTATACACCGATCCAGATATTGTGAAATTCGTTAATGTGCAGATACTTAAATGGGCTGGATACATTACTAGGATGTCTGATCACGAACACACGAAGAGATTAACATTTTCAAAACCAGAGGGCACAAGAACGAGAGAATGCCCACGAAAGAGATGGATTGATGATGTGGAAGAAGACCTACAGGTTCTAAGGGTCAGGAAATGGAAGGAAGTTATCAGGAATTGACAGATTGGCGATTTCTTTGTGAACAGACCCAGATCCGACAACGGATTGACGAGCAACTTATGATGATGATGATAAATACGAATATAATAACGACGTTGGTCCTAGAGCTATCTACGAGGTAATAAAGTGGATATCGTTTCCTGGAGTTTTATGCTATTTTTATTCGAAATCAGTCGAATGTCATTACTCGATGATTTTCGAGATCGCTGAATACGAATATACAAAAACTGGTCTCATTAAGGTCTTGTATATATTAAGCTTTACTGCACATTTTATATTTTTATTTTTTAAATGTTTCTGGAGACCGTGAACAGTTCTGTTTGCTATTGCTATGCGTATTTCTATTTCGTCGCTTGTCGTATTTCGGGCGTTTACTAGCGATCCAAGATATGTCAATTCTTTGACTTTCTCAAAGACATGGTTGTTAATTTGAATTCTCTGTTGGATATTTTAGGAGTTTTTAGAAACCAAGATATATTTGGTTTTTTCCTCGTTTACCTTCTTCTTCAAGTGCCATTTCCGCGGTGGAGTTCGGCAATCATCATAGCTATTCGGACTTTTGAGACGGCTGCTCTGAAAAGTTCATTTGATGTACATCCATACCATACCCTCTCAGGTTGCGCAGCCATGACATTCTACGCCTCCCTATACTTCTCTTTCCTTGGATCTTTCCCTGCATAATCAGTTGGAGCAAGATGTATTTCTCTCCACGTGTAATATGTCCTCGTGTACCACAATAGTCCTAATTCACTTGTCGCGTCCACAAGCCTTGTAAAACACTCCACCATGTCTATCATACTTCTGCAAACTATAACTATATCGTCAGCGAATGCGAGAATTTCGTCATTCCAAACTATTTAATTGTCTAATTGCTTTTTCCAAGGCAATATTAAATAGGAGACAGGCCAGCACGTCCCCCTGTCTTAGACCATTATTAATGTCAAAGAACGTAGAGCTTTCTCCTTCAATTTTAACGCATGAGCGTACGTTTTGCATTGTTATTTGGGTCAACTTAACTAACTTAGATGGGGTCCTATAGTGCAGTTCTTTTTACGCTGTCATAGGCTGCTTCGAAGTCGACGAAGAGATGCTGGGTATCTATGTTATATTCTAGTGACTTTTCTAGAATCTGTCTATGTGCTTGAATATGATGTGTTGTTGACTTTAAAGCAGTAAATCCGCATTAATATTAACCAACAATATCCTTTGCAAAATGTTTAAGTCTTTTAAACAATACATTGCCGAATATTTTATACGCAGATGCTAACAGAGTAATGCCTCTATAGTTCTTGCACTCCACTTGATCACCCTTTTTATACATCGGACATATTATTCCTTTTAGCTACTCTTCTGGTACAAATTCACTTTGCCATATAAGTACTATTAGTTTATGGAGTGCTGCAAAAAGTTGATCCCCATCAATTCCTGGGGATTTATTGTCTTTGAGTTTTAGGATGACATTTGACACTTCTCTTGTTGGGTTTTCACTCTGTAGTTGACCTTATAGATTGTGTTGATTGTCTATGTTGTAATCCCGATAATATCGTTTATATTTAGATATTCGCTGAAATGTTGTGCCCATCGGTTAAGAACTCAGTTTTTATCATGTCGAATTTCACCGTTAGTGTCTTTACAAATTTGTAGTATTTCCTTGTTTCATTTATATCGAATAAACTTTTTATCTCATTGAGAGTGTTGTGTTCGTATTCCCTCTTCTTAAGTCAAAGGATACGTTTTTCTTCTCTTAAGACTATACTCTCTTCTGAGTCTATACTCTTCTTTTTTTCTCCGTGTATAACCTGCGTCGATGGTTTTTTGATATGCTGCATTTTTTCTATTTGTGACCATTTCGCACTCATAATCAAACCAATGATTTTTTTTTTAATTGGTTTTGCCCAATATTTTAACCGATTTCTTTGACACAGTATATTTGTCCATAGTTGGTTAATGTCTTTTTCTTTATCTAAATTTTCTGTCCTTATTTGATCTTCTTTTTGCGGTTTGTATACGTTTGCAATATCAGAA